CTCCAAGCAGGCCTTCATAGTTTGTTTGGATTCAGTATGGCGGACAACATAAAGTCGTCCGTTCTTACCTGTTAATTCAGACCTTGATGTGAACCTTACCATGACCTTAGAACTTTGTTTTCAGTATGGCTTGGACAAAAAATGACTTTGATCTCTGGCGGTCGGTCCATTAAAAACCACTTAAAATTAAATATCAGGTTTGCGATGTGTAAATGAATAGTTGGTAATCAATATTCCACCTTAACCCTACCTAGACCGGGCTTTTTTTGGCATTGGGGGACGGGGGGGGGGCTCTTTTGACCCCCCCCTTCAGAACTCACGAACGGTATGTCGTATGACCACTGAATTTCCAGAGGATGGTGTACTAGTGAAAATTCATCATATCTACAATTTTTATGTCATTATGACGTAATATGACGTCATTATGACGTCATTAATGTGATTTTATTGGCCAAAACCGTCTAGATAGGTTTTTCCCTGAAAACTAAATGGTATTCAACATAACTGTACCAAAAGTGTTTATGACAGAATATTAGGGTGTACTTAGTCTTATGTTGCCCATAGCAACACCGGTGACGCCAGAAAATGACGTTATGCATATTTAAGATATCCCCCATCTTGTATCATTAATCTTGACTTTTCAAAAATTGTTTTTTTCCATGATAAAGCCTAAAATACATTGTATACATACTACAGACCTTCATTTAAACCTTTTTTGGAAAAAGAAATGGAAGTATTGATGAAATTTTAATGAAAATAACCCGTATATACCTGTTCTAATGATAAGATTTTGCACAGGGGAGCGATTATCCCGGGCGGCCATCTTGCATTGCACGCTACAAGCAGACTACCAAACGTGATCGTCACCTGACAAGGTTGAAAACGTCGAGAAGTGTACTTGACAGAAGTGTACTTTCAGGAGTTAATCTTTCTTTGAAATCGGTATTTCTACCGTAAAAGGTTGACCTTATTTCAGGGTTTCAGTCTTTTCAGTTTCTTCCCGGCACTGTTTTCTACCCCGGAAACTGTACGAAACATTCGGCTCTATATGGGGGTTACGTATCATCGAATCATCTGCTTTGTGGTCGAGGTCAATTATATCTCTTCCGGGTCAGTCGTTTTCGACCTCAAAGATGTCAGCTCTCAAAATATGTTGTTTCTAACTCTACTCTAAATGATTTTTGTAAGCTATTTTTACCCTCCATGTAAATGGGGGGTATTGTTTTTACTCCGTTTCATGTTTGGTCTGATATCTGAAGATCGGTGAGAAGGAACTGTATGATATTTGGCAGATTGATGGATGGGGCCTTGGAGATTGTGTAGGTTGACTTTGAGCACCTGGTGATTGACCTTGGTACTGCAGTTTAATTTTTTTATTCTATTGTTGGCACGTTATGGTCTGTGTGTGCGATGCTAAGGTAGCATGTAGTTGTGGTTACAATGGTTTACTGATGTAAATTTGGGCCCCCTAGCTGTTTGCTTTGAACCGGAATTGCTATCTCAATGTCAGATTGTTTGCGTTGAATGATCTCAGAACCCGGTGGATGGTTGGCGATCATTTTGG